ATGATTGCATATATATATGTACATGTATATATATCATTAACAGTTGTGTAACTAGCTTCAAAAGATTGTCACTTGCTTAGCTAAATGAACTATGGGATTCAGTTCCTGACCCGGTTGTGTGCTCTGTAACCCTTTCCACCATCGCCCACGGAATGGGTATGGGGTGCATATTATAAAAACGAAATTCTAAAAAATTGAGGCTATTGTAACATTGCGAACAACTCAGAAAGTAGGTTAACATGGGGAGGGACAGACAACTGGTGATGAGGTAAAGTGCATCGTGAGTATCAGTGTCTCCAGTCCTCTCATCCATCCCCTTCAGGACAGCGCTCATCTTACTAAGGACATCGTCACTGGAATTCGACCCAAGTGAAGCTCCTAGGAGTGTGCACTCTCTTCGGGTTTGATTATATGTATTTTAGGCAAAATATGGTTTATTTGATCTATAATGCGCTGGTTGGAAGAGGTCATTTCACTCTTAAAAATGTTTAGTGTGAGGCCAAGATTTGCTCAATGCAATGCATCAGAATTATTCTGATGTCCTTCATGAGAGATTCCTTGGAACCAGCTAGGGCACATTCATTCAAGAACTAGATGTTAAACTCGCTGGACAAGATTTTCGGTGACCTCTTTACTAACTAACCAGAAAAGGAGAGGAGCAAGGGGGTCACCCTGGAGGATACCTTCTTGAGAGTCAATTTCATGTTCCCTAAATATAAGATTCAGGCCCCGCCTTAAGCACGATTATATAAATGGGTACATGAAGGCGAAATGATGATGAGTAAACAAGGAAATATAAGTATATCGATCCAAAGCTGGAACCTTCTTCAGTAGTTTTGTCATATTTTATTGCTAATTGTCCCATTGCACTTTATTCTCATAGAGACATGTATATGTGTATAATGTCTTTCATCGCCTGCATCACTCTATCATGTCCTCATGATGGCCTACTGAGCGAAAACACATTTGCCAATCGAAATGGTGCTTCGGCACAAAAAAATAACCATCACAACTCTCATGTTTGGCTGCATATAAATGTTTTGCTTGCAAGTAAGACTAGCCAAGGAAACTACCAAAATTCCATTAATAACATTTATAAGAATGTTACTCTCGTATTTAGGACTATTGAGAGAGAGAGAGAGAGAGAGAGAGAGAGAGAGAGAGAGAGAGAGAGAGAGAGAGAGAGAGAGAGAGAGAGAGAGAGAGAGAGAGAGAGAGAGAGAGAGAGAGAGAGAGAGAGAGAGAGAGAGAGAGAGAGAGAGAGAGAGAGAGAGAGAGAGAGAGAGAGAGAGAGAGAGAGAGAGAGAGAGAGAGAGAGAGAGAGAGAGAGAGAGAGAGAGAGAGAGAGAGAGAGAGAGAGAGAGAGAGAGAGAGAGAGAGAGAGAGAGAGAGAGAAGGCGAGGTCAAGACCTGCAATAGGGTAGGCAAACTTCTCGTGAGGCACACACAAGGCCAGCCATTGTTCACCTCACTACCGTCTATCTCCGCCGTCATGGACACGTTCAGATAGCAGAGCATTTCCATTCTTCTGCAAAGAACAGAAAATGTCAGAATTGGAACATATATACACACACACATTATATATATATATATATATATATATATATATATATATATATATATATATATATATATATATATATATATATATATATATATATATATATATATATATATATATATATATATATATATATATATATATATATATATATATATATATATATATATATATATATATATATATATATATATATATATATACAAGCAAGTGAAGTTTTTACATCTTTAGAACACTTTCCCATCAGGAGAGTCGAACCCGAGCCAGCACAGAAGCCTGTGCTGGCTGGTTAATTACGGGAGTAAAATTAATGTATTACTAAAAATAATAATGAATTTCTTTATGGAAAAAGGAAGTACCGTTGTTTATGTATACGTTTATTTACTGTTTTACTATTACCAAAAGTATAACAGAGAAATATTTAAAAAAATATGAAAGCTTTTTATAAAGCCTGCTAAACATTTTTGAATATTAATGTTTTTAACAATATAATTGAAAATAACATAATTTATCAACAGAATCTTGCCTTATAAGCAACAAGATATATGAACGAGATGCAATAAGCTTTGGTTAATAATATTGGATGCCAAGAAAATAAAGCAAGATAGTAAATCTTAGAGAATTTTGACCAGCAGTTGAACTAATTATGATAATTAAACTGGTGGTAATTAGTTGAATTAACCCAATCAACAGTTGAAATAATGATGCTTATTCAACTGACAGTGTGATAATAATAGTAGTGTTAGTAGTAGTGGCAGTTGCAAGTCATAACATCAAAAGTAGCCACAACTAAATTTTAATTATCTTATATATATAATTATATAAATATATCATATATATATATATATATATATATATATATATATATATATATATATATATATATATATATATATATATATATAATATATATATATATTTATCGACAGGTACAAAATGTTAAATTAAAGACAAGATGTTGTTGTTGTTGTTTAAGATAAACTACCTGGAACAAAAAGTTCCAAGTAGCACGGGCTATAGTGAGCCAGTAGTTAAAAGACAAGAATTCCTTACACGCAATTGGGCTTAAATCTTGTCAACCGCAAGACGGTTATTAAGGCCACCACATTTGCTTACTGACCAACCAGCAAGTACACTCTAGTCCTGGACATGGTCTAGGACTAAAGGTAAATTTCTGGAGAAAGCGCTAAGCCATTACGACTATTACAGTTGGAAGGTATAAGGGAAAATATTTAGGATAGGAGGGATAGAAGGACTAAAGTGTATTCTCAAGTGCATATATATATATACCGAGAAGCAGGATACACCTCCCTGTGTATATCCTATCTTGACAAGTATACCATACAATATATTATAAAAAAATAATTATTGTGAAATAATTGCTGACTGTGATTGTGTATTGTTTGTTCACAATGATTGTGTATTGATTGCTCACAATGATTGTGTATTGATTGCTCACAATGATTGTGTATTGTTTGCTCACAATGATTGTGTATTGTTTGCTCACAATTATTGTGTATTGATTGCTCACAATGATTGTGTATTGTTTGCTCACAATGATTGTGTATTGTTTGCTCACAATGATTGTGTATTGATTGCTCACAATGATTGTGTAGCGTTTGCTCACAATGATTGTGTAGCGTTTGCTCACAATGATTGTGGAATCATCGTTCACAATGATTGTGAACAAATTACTTGCAATAATTGTATTTTTTGTGCAATAATTGCATTCAGTGACTGAGGAATGATCGCTCGAACTAATGATCGCTCATATTACTCCCAGTGCTTGTAGAGTGATCGTATACAATGATTATGGAATGTTCGCTAACAATGACTGCGCTGTGATCTTTTACAGTGACTGTGTTGTGATCTCTTACAATGACTGTGTTGTTATCTCTTACAATGACTGTGTTGTGATCTCTTACAATGACTGTGTTGTTATCTCTTACAATGACTGTGTTGTTATCACTTACAGTGACTGTGTTGTGATCTCTTACAATGACTGTGTTGTGATCTCTTACAGTGACTGTGTTGTGATCTCTTACAATGACTGTGTTGTGATCTCTTACAGTGACGGTGTTGTGATCTCTTACAATGACTGTGTTGTGATCTCTTACAGTGACTGTGTTGGGATCTCTTCCCCAGACTGTCTTGTGATCTTACGCGGTTGGAGTGTGATCGCTCTTAATAATTGGCTAGTACTGGATCACTCAGGCTACGGCTAGCTATTTCAACAAGACTCACATTTTGACCCTCGCGATCAAACGATTTCCAGACGATACATAGCCGTAGTGATAACACGCGCTTTGCGTGCGATTTGGTCCGAATTCGAGTCGCCAGGGTGGAGTGATTAGGCGAAAATTCTTAATTTAATGGTTTACCCCTGTTCACCCAGCAGTAATTTGGTACGTGGTTGTTATTAAAAGAAGAAGACGAGGAAGAAGAAAAGGAAGAAGAGGAAGAAGGTGAAAAGGAAGAAGAGGAAGAAGAGAAAGTGGAATAAGAGGAAGAATTAACTGTAGAACTGCCAATATCATACCACCACTGTCATACAGCCAACAGTAAGACCACCACTGTCATACAGCCAACAGTAAGACCGCCACTGTCATACAGCCAACAGTAAGACTGCCACTGTCATACAGCCAACTATAAGACCTCCACTGTCATACAGCCAACAGTAAGACCTCCACCGAGATGCTGTTCGCCTACAGAAAGAAAACTTGATGTACAACTGCGGTGGAAAGGGTATCAGAGACAACGTGCTGCGTCATGCCAAACTGCACCCGTTGTGTCAAGAAGCACTCAGTGCGTCTCAGTCATCTGCGTCCTGGCCACCAGCACCACACGTGAAACACATCAGAACGCAATGCTCCTGATTGTTATGGGGTCAGCCAAAATATATTATTGAGAAGAGAAAACAAATACCACGTACCTTATTGTGTAATATATTATTTAGTTGTCCTAATTAGTGACAAGCATGGGAAGGAAGGTGACAGAGATATTACATTCTAGGCAGCCCCAATAATTACAGGTTATATACACGATTAACGTTTATATTGTTGACCAAACCACACGCTAGAAAGTGAAGGGACGACGACGTTTCGGTCCGTCCTGGACCATTCTCAAGTCGATTGTGTAACGTTTGTGTAACGTCAAGTTACGATTACGATTACAATCGTTACGACTGTAACGATTGTGTTACGTCTAGTTTAACATTTATATTTAGAATGAGAGAGTGAGACAGAAAGAGAGAGAGAGAGAGCAGCAGCGAGAACGAGACAGAGATAGAGTGAGAGAGAGAAAGTAATGACCAGTGAAAGAGGCTAGAAAAGCTGGGTCATCGGTGAAGGGCGACCTGCCCTTCCCGAGGTCAGGACCAAGGAACGCCTGGCGGTCCACCCCCTATATAAGCTCCCGGTACCATGACCACGGCATCACTTGGCCGCTGCCACCATCACCATGAAGTTCGTAAGTGATCCCAACTTCCCATTCACAGAAGTTGCTGCTGCTTATAACGTAGACTTCACTTACTGTTTGGAATTGACTCTCCTCTGAGACTTGCCTGAAGATCTCAAACTAGTGCCAGGAAGAAAACTACACATTATCGTCCCAGGGACTCTTATTCGCTCTAGGAATAAACTTGTAATTTTGTAAATTTCTCCAGGTCTATTGAAAGTTTCGAACAGTAAACAATCCTTAATACTTCAAACTTGAAATGAGTATACTGTATTCATTGCCATGATCATTACAAGTAAAGTAGAATACGATACAATTATTGATGTAATTACAAATACATCTACTGCTGATAAATGAAATTTTAATAATATTAATTCATTGCTGACGGTTGTAACTGTTAGAAATTATAATAAAACAATTATAAGCAATTGACATAAAAATAAAATTACAACGTATTATCTCTCAAAAATGGTACTGAATATATTATATAATATTAGTGTAGCTGGGTTAGTTCTCGACTCGCGATTGGAAATTTAAATGAGAATATAAATGTAAAAATATATATTGGAACACTAAGGTAGCCAATTTTTTGGCTAGCTAGCATTAGCAAGTTTTTTGAAAAAAACAAAGAGCATAAATAACTATGGGAGAAGTTAAAGGTAAATTCAGAGGGAATATTAATTTGATTATTACATCAGGTGATCATTGCTGCCGTGGCCGCCGTGGCTGTCGCCGCCCCACAGTACCAGCTCCCACAGACCTCCTACGGCGCCCCCGCCGCCTCCAGCAGGTCTGTCTCCATCGACAGTGTCGAGGTGGTGCCCATCCTGAGGGACGATCGTGTCCAAGAACCAGACGGAAGATACAGTGTTGACGTGGAGACTGGCAACGGAATTGTCCTGTCCCTGAACGGCTCTCCAGATGGCTCAGATGGCGCTGTAATTAAGGCCGGACAATACTCGTAAGTTTTTGTTGCCGTACAAAATTTCTTGTAATATGTAAGGTTCATTCGTTCGTACGTTCCTTGTAATTTGTAAATTCCTTTCAGTATTACGAGTGGCATATACACAAAATAATGAACGTTAAGTTACTGATGTTCTATTCTCAGCTACACCGCTCCTGACGGCAGTCCCGTCAATGTGAAGTTCGTCGCCGACGAGAACGGCTACCAGCCCCAGTCTGACCTGCTGCCAGTGGCTCCTGAGTTCCCCCACCCAATCCCAAAGTTCGTGCTGGACCAGATCGCTAAGGCTGCTGAAGAGGACGCCGCCGCCGCCAGAGCCGAGGGTGCTAGTGTGAGGGCCTCTGCCTCCGCTCCCTCCAGGACCTACGGCGCCCCTCAGTAACTGCTGAGCACCACCAACCTCCCGCCTTTGAAGATACTCACATTTATTTATTGTATACATGAGTAGTGCGTATAATTATGTAATGAATAAACTATAGTTCCATGCATTATTTGGATTGTTTGTTATCCTACTTACATAACTGACTGCACAATGCTTGGTTTGACGTAATATGCTTGTAATTCTTAGATAAACTTTGTAAGTGATATTAAAGTAATACAATTGTGTATTTTGCCATAATATTGTGATTTAAAAACATAAAGATAAAATAGCAGACTGAGAATGGTTTAGCTAGAAATTAACATTTAGTTTTCATGTGCATTTAACTTCCTTGTTTTTTTTCTATGAAAAAAATGAATCTTATCAGGTTTGGACAGATGTTCTTTTCAACAGTATGCATAACTTGGTAGAGTTGCATATAACAATTTAAATTGTTTTTTCCAAGGTAAATTAACAAGTTTTGTTCAGCCAATTTGAAATAGGCTGCTAGTTAAATAGCAGTTTCAAGTGGAGAGCTATTTACATTGCCCAGCTCCCCATATAATTATTATTCTCTTCTGGTTTAACGACAAAGATATAATTGCGGTCATTTGCTTAAATAATTGTTATAAAATACTATTATTAATAATAATATATGTAATTAGAGTATTTAGAGCCAGTAATAGTAAGTGATTATATATTGTTAAATTTAGTCAGTAGGCATATATATAGGTCGGGTAAAATGAAATAATATATGCATTAATACTGGCAATAATATATAAATTAATACTGGCAATAATATATTCATTAATACTGCCATAATATATTTACAAACTATGTAAATATACACATTGTAATAATAGGACGTGATCATTTAACAATGATACTGTTAGAAAATCCGTAGGAGCGGATTTACAGGACTACAACGGATCCTGTAGTCTCTATGAGACACAAACCAGGGTTTTACACAATTCCCCCAAGCACCCAAAGGTGCATGTAAAGGCGAAGAGGTAGAACAGTATATTGGCGGAGCTCGGGTGCATGGGGGGAATTGTGTAAAACCCTGGTTTGTGTCTCGGAGAGACTGCAGGATCCTTTGGTAGGTCAGGATGATTTCCCGGTTGCAATTATTTTACCATGTCGTAGCTCAGTTGATTAAGGCAGCGTCTGAGATCCTCTCGGACGTAGGTTCGAACCCCTCGTCACAGCCCTTGAGGATTTGTTCATTTGATGCATCACGCTATTGTGATTTCTGAGTGTAACCTATTTTCTCATTGATACATCACATTAGTGTGATTACTTTGTGTGTACCGACACAGTTGTTAACACATAAGAAACACCAATATGCAGCAAAAACACTGGCTTATAAAAAGAAGAAAACTAGCCCCAAATGTTGGGAAGAATAATCTCTCTGCTTCAGAGTGACAGTTAAAGTATTGCTGGAGACCGCTCCTCGCTGCCTTAAGGCACAGACAGCTTATTCTGCCAATCAGTAGGCATTGTGGAGAGTAGATTGATCTCACTCTGTTTAAGTGTGACAATTACATCACGAGTTAAGTAATTTTGAAATTTTGTATATCTTAACTGTTTGTTTGTCTGTTTTCGCCTAAAATTAAGCTATTGTTCAACAATAATACAGACAAATTTAATTTTTTCCAACTCACAGTATACCAAACAACTTTTTCCAACTCACGGTACATTGAACAACCTTTAGCAACTCACGACACACCGAATGTGGTGCTAAAACCGTCAAAGGACTTTCTTATTTTTAAGAAGAGACCTTACCATTGATAAGAACGAGAATTACGATTGTGTTTAAAAGTTCAGTAGCTAAAATAATAGACTAAATAAAACGCAATAGAAAAAAAGCATTCGAGCAAACTCACACGGAGTTAGGGGTCTGGTAGCCGAGTGGACAGTGCGCGGGATTCGTAATACTGTGGCCCGGGTTCGACTCCCGGCATCGGCAGAGACAAATGGGCAGAGTTTCTTTCACCCTGCCGCCCCTGTTACCTAGCAGTAAATAGGTATCTGTGCGCTAGACAGCTGTTACGGGCTGCTTGCTGGGCGTGTGAAAAAAATTAGTTAGTAGCTAGTAACAGTTGATTGATTGACAGTTGAGAGGCTGGCCGAAAGAGCAAAGCTCAACCCCCGCAAGAACAAGTAGGAGAATACACGGAATCCCCAAACCATTCTCTAGCCCCAAGCAATAAGTCAAATAATGAGTTTTTATTAAGTGCTGTGTTTTATTTATTCAGCAGACATGTAAATGACAGGATGAATCTTCTATAAAATAAAAACTTTTTTCTGAAATGTAAATTAATAGTATTATATATTGTGGGTTTATGTATAATTAGGTCTAGGTTAGATTTAAGGTGTTATGGTTACGTTGGTTTAGGGAGTGTTTACACTACACCACACTCTGAAGGTGAACTAAGCACGTTTCAAGTCATAGCCTCGAACATGGTTCTGTGGACTATACAGCGCGTCCTCATCAATAAAGGTCAAATGCTCGTTAATCCTGCCGCCAAACCCCCCTTTTTATGGATGAAAAATGGTTTACACATAAACAAATCCACAAGGGCCGTGACGAGGATTCGAACCTGCCTCGGAGAGGCTACGGGATCCAGTTAGTTCAGTAGAACTTCGGTTTCAACCCTTTTAACCCCGTCGTAGCTCAGTCGATTAAGGCAGTGTCTGGGATGCTCCCGGACGCAGGTTCGAATCCTCGTCACGGCCCTTGTGGATTTGTTCATTTGATGCATCACGTTAGTGTGATCTCTGTGTGTGGTTTACACATAACTCACATCTGATGACTTTCAATTATTTTACAAATAGTGCTTCGCTAAAGACTTTTGATCGAATTGCAACGATGTAAATGATTATTTTACTTATTACAAATACAATAAATCACCAAGAGTACCTAAACACCTAACCTAACCAAACCTACGCCAAAGTATAGAACTTTAATATATAATATTAATATTTAAATGAGAACAAACGTATTTTTAATGCGCAATGCGTTAAAATTGTTCAATGCGTCTTGAGGGACTTCAGCAGCTCGTGTCTGACCTGAGGACTTGTTGCGACTATAAGTCCGAACAATAACTGCCTGAAGATTGACGCTCAGTGTTGCCAGGTGGAGGTCTTTCCAAACTTATCTCGACTTTTTTTTTTTTTTGTATTGTTAAATTTAGTTGTCGCCTCATTTCGAACTTCCCCAAACTCCTGTGGGCCCTTCGCGACATACTGTTGTGATCCACTAATGCTTCAAAGCAGTTACTGTTTAAACTAGCATGTACTCAAGCATATACTCCTAGTACCAAGTCAAAAGTTTAACCTCTGGACGTATCTGGAAATAGCGTTAACATCTGTAACAATCAGTTCCTACATGTTTCATGAAGTTACATTTTACTACATCATATATACATATTTTAATTTATGAATGCGTAAATGCCATTTTCTATTGTTAATTGCCACACAGGACAGAGATCGATTTCATAAATGTCGAAAACATCTTTTCTTCCCTGTTTTCCAGTAGTAGGGTTGGCGCCACACAGACGATATTTTTTTTTCAGGGAAAATATCGTCTGTGTGGCGCCAGGGTTTTCAGGTAAATTTAGAATATCCCCTGTGCGCCCCAAGGGTTTCAGGTAAATTTAGAAATATCGTCTGTGTGGAGCCAGGGTTTTCAGGTAAATTTTGTCAGTCGCAGATTTTAGAAGTAAGGATTTCTTATGAGAAAAATAATTTCCGAGACTTAGAAGTTTGTTAAAGCCTTATGGGAGAAATTCAAATAACGTGTGTAGCACTTTAGGGCTTCCAGGAGAACTCTACGGACATATTTTACATGTTTTCAACTTACAAAATCGTCTATGTAAGCCTTAGTTATTCATATAAATTTAGAAAATCACCTGTGTAAGTCATTGTTTTCAGGGTTTCGTACATCACACCCCCCTCCCTCCCCCCCTTACCTCGCAATCTGTCGCCTCACCTGTGTTTACTTTACGCCCGGTCAGCCAGACCTCTTATCTTATGTTATCTTCTCATAATATCTGGACCGTCCCTCCTCTCTCTCTCTCTCTCCTTTCATTCAGTTCAACTATTTTCCAACATCGTATGTTTGCTCCTTTTCATTAAGCAAGTCAGTATGTTTGCTCCTTTTCATTAAGCAAGTCAGTTTTACACAAATAAATCATGTTAGTAAGCAAGTTCTAGCTCACGTTCCCCACCTTAGTCCCCTGTCGTATAAAGAATACTATCATTCCAAAATTTAAAAATAATCATATTTCAAATGTTGTTCAATACAGTAATTTAGTTACCAAGCTCCAGCTCTTGTCCTCCGCCTTAGCTCTCTCTCGTATCTTCGTTAGTATCAGTCCAATTTCCCTGAAATTTCTACCCTCTGTATTTCAGACATAGTTTAGTAAATGCAAACAATTATCAAACTCTAGCTCTTGTCCCCAGCTTAGTTCATTTGTACAAAATCATTAGTAACAGTCCAAATTCCCTGAGATTTTTAGCCTCTGTATTTCAGACACCATAAATAAGATCAAAACAGTTACCAAGCTCCAGCTCTTGTCCTCCGCCTTAGTTCTCTTTCATATCTTTGTAAATAAACCACCAATTTCCCTGAAATTTCTACCCTCTGTATTTCAGACACCGTAAATAAAATCAAGTCAGTTATCGAGCTCCAGCTCTCGTCCCCGCCTTAGTTCTCCTTCGTATCTTTGTAAATAACCCATCAATTTCCCTAAAATTAAAAGCAGACATACTTCAAAGTTAGTAAATAAAATCAAGTCAGTTATCGAGCTCCAGCTCTCGTCCCCCACCCTCTTCCACCCTCAAGTCTTTGTAAATAAACCATCAATTTCCCTGAAATTTTTTACCCTCTGTATTTCAGACATAGTAAATATGAAGTAAACAATTATAAAACTAGCTCTTGTCCTCTGTCCAAGCTCACTTTTGTAAAATCATTACTCTCAGTCCAAATCACCCAACTACATTTTCAGACATAGTAAATAAAAACCAGTTCAGTTATCAAGTTTCAACTCTTGTGCCCCAGCTTAGTTCATTTGTGCAAGTTCTTTATTTTCCAACTAAATCATCCTGAGATTTAAGATCACCTTATTT